AAGTTATATTTGATCTTTTGAAAAAATTAGACATTGAGTTATTAAAAATGTATTTAAACATTCTTATATTTAATAATTATTTTTTCATTTTGACTGGCAAACAAGTTGATTCAAAAAGCTTTAAAAAAATTTTGTTTTATAGTTTATAATTATAAAAAACTTTTTTAAATCTATTATATAATATCTATTATTCACATACATTGAATTTAATATTATATTATAATAATTACTCATTATTTTGCAAAACTCTATTACTGAAATGAAATATCTGATAATCAGAAATGAAACTATATAATATAGGTATTAGATATTAACAAAATGATACAAAAGTTGTATTCAAGAAAACCTACTCAAAATAAAAGAGAAATAAATAAAAAAAAATTATTTGCATTATTTGTTTTGTTTGAAATCTACCTTTAGTGTAGACTGTAGGTACATAAATACAATTTAATACACGGTTTATATTATACAATATTATTTAAAAAAATGAATATAAGTATTTAAGTATTTTAACCCTTTTTCAAAATACAACTATTGCAAATATTGTTATCATTAATTAGAATGTAAATAATATAATATAAGTACCACGCTACTAAACTATTTAAGTAAATAAGTATTGTTTAAACTCATACACAAATGAAATGTTACGATTAAAGWATGATGAAATTTGAATTACATCCATCACAGTGAGGAATATTATATTTTATATTTATCTGTGACTTTTGTCACCACCTTTGTTTCCAGTTTTACTCTTCCCTTACTCGTTACTCGTTACTTAATCAGCTCCTTTAATATACTTTACAACACACCCACTTCAGTAATATTAAAACAATTCATCTCTTCAAACATAAACTTAGCATTTTATTTTTAAATATTGTACACTTTTTATAACTATTTGGTATTTACTGTAAATAAATGTATTTTTTTAACATTTAATTTTTATAGTTTTATTTTTCTATTATATTTTATACAACCATACTAATATGATTAATGGGTTATAGAAATATTTGGTTAATAAAAAAAAAAAATACACGTGACCATTATTTTAATTTTTCATCGTAATTAATCATTAGGTACAACTTTAAACAAATAAAAAAATTAGCAGATAGATCAAGGAAAATTTCAAACTTTAAATTTAAAATAAAATAAAATTATGTCAATAGAATCGGATTGTGAATTTAAAAATGAATATATTATTTATATTTTGAATTTCAAAAAATAAACTAGAAATGGAAAAAATACACTAAAAAACATATTTTTTTATTTATCAAACTATTTCAATGTTTTTTTTTTTTTTTTTCATATTAAGTAGGTACTAAATAAGAACTCTGGCACTGTGGCAGCTTCAATAACCATTATTGAGTTTTGAATTTAAATAAAGATGTTATTTTGACAGAATGATGTAAATATATAGTTAGGATCAAAATAAATAACTGATAATAATTAATTGCGATCAAAATATTCAATGAATCAAAGAATAAAAAAAATTGTATGTTGGATCTGAGTTTCATTCAATAAAAAAATTGTATTAAAATAAATTACGAAATTAAATTATTTTCTTTTTAATAAAATAAACCAATGTTTAAAAAAAAAACATCTATTGAATTAAAATAATCTGTATTTGATCTGTAGTTGTTTTCACAATAAGCATAATATGTGTGAAAAAATATGTATGTATATTATATACAGGACATGAAGACGTGAAGATAAAAGTCACCCTCAGTAACATTCAGTAAACTAATACAAATTTATTTTATTTAGTATGAATTCCATATAATATTATCATTCTATTTTTGAAACTTTTAGTTAAACGCTTAGATCATATATTATATATTAGTATATGGTCTACGGTTAAATGTATCTACACCATGATATATCTATGATTATATAGTATAAAAAAATGTGTACATATATTTAAAAAAAAAGCTAATTCAATGGAAAAAGTAAAACTGAAATTTCAAAATTACTATATTATCATGATATGCCTAATTAATAATAAATACTGTCAGAGTTTTAATTACTTCAAAAATCATTTATGTATAAAATTAAAAATGAATAACAGTAAATGTTGATTGTTGAATATAAAAATATAAATTAAATATACACTAGTCTTGCACTCAATAAATTTAACCATTATAATAATGTATAGTAAAATATTAATAACTAACCATTAAGATATGTCAATATATTATTAAACACTTAAGGAATATAAATATTGCCGTGTAAGATAATATTTCATATTATTTAAATTGAAAGGAAGGCCAATACAGTTATTCTTTAAATTTTTAAAGAGAAAATAGTATAATCTCGATATCTATAATTAATAATTAGATCAAGAAGTAAACAACTTATGGACGTTTAATAAGACATAACACCTTCATACCCAACGTAATGGAATGAAGAATCAATGGACTCAAAGTAAGGGGAATTCCGAAGAAGACATCATACGTAGGAGAAATGATTGGAATGGCAACTAGTGCAACGGTATAAAGACAATATAGTGTAAAGAGAGATTGACGGAAGTTCACTTTTCCTATGAATCTCTGGAAAACATTAAAAATTAAAACTTATATGTACTAACAAATAACTTATGATAAAGTGCAATCTTAGCCATAAACATGTGACATTTTAACATAATTCAAATATGGATAATCCACCAATAAAGAATCTAAACCATATTATATAGGTATCTGCCCAATTATTCGGATTACAAAATAATATAAACTGAGTAGATATTTTCAATCACACAAACTCTTTAAATGTATTTAAATTCACAAACTTATTTCATTTTAGATTATAAATGGAGCGATAAATCTGGTTAATAATTCACATTAATGATAGTTATATATTATTATTATTATTATTTGTTTTTGATTTGATTTTTTTTTTGGGAAGCGGTAAAAATGCTCAAAAAGTTCCAAGGTAAGAATTGTATCAGTAACCCACACACCCACAACCTGCTTGTAACTTGTTTTATTCTTTTTCTCTGTATTATAATTATAATTATAGTTTTATACTAGAAGCGTTAAAAATTAAAAAATAATTATATTTATTGTACATTGCAATATTATATTTATCATTTATTAAAGTTTTGTTGTAGACTCAGACAATTACGTATAGAAGATTATCGTAAAGAAAACATAAAGGTATAGGTAACTTAATAATAGTTTTAAATTTAAATTGACGTCACAAATTATAATACCTACCATAATATAAATATAAAGTTTGATTAAAACTGTTATTAATGAAATTTTTACTATAATTTATTAACTAGTTATCATAATGATATAATATATAGGCGCACTAATATTGCATACTTCTACAATAATTGCATTATTATATATGTTAAGAAAATACACATTGACCTAGGTGATAACCAAGTATAGATAGTGCATATAGTATATAATTTTATAATTTACACATGGTTTATTTACAATGAATTCTGATGCATAACCTAATACCTGTACATTTTAATCGTTATATCATCGTGTAATATTTTATAACTTTATTTAAACAGTGATTTATTATTTTATTCAAAATATATTATGGTATATCATGTAGAGGAATAGTGATAACAATATTATAACCATAAACACATTTTTTTATAMATTTGATTTTTTGCATAAAATATTACAAAAGTATTTGGTATACTCGTACTTTTCTTTAAAAAATAATTTAAATAAGTTCTACTTCTTATATTTTTTTTTTATTATTATTTGAATTTAGCCTCGGCAACTATGGCCATTGGCAACAATGGGTTTAACTCTAAATTATTTACAATAAGTTACTTATTAAATTACTTCTTATATTATATTATCATATAGGAAGGTAATTAATTGCAAATATTAACTTAACTACCTATATAAAACTATGAAAGTTTACACCTTTAATAAACGTATAAATTACACAGCTATATATCAATTTAACAACAGCATATAATATTATAATAATACATTTATTAAATATTTTGAAATCAGAAAATTTTTTCAAAATCACATTTCAATAAAAATAAGATAAATCATTTATAAATTCAAAAACTACTTTAGAATCCAGATTTTAGTCATAATATTATTGTTAGTAAGTCCCACATTATGATAAATCGGTTTTTTATTAACTCGTTTTGCTTTTTATGGTCAATTGGTAACCTACCTATATATATCATATATTGATATATATTGCGGATATATTGCGGATATAACAATATAACATAACTTTTATACACCTATAGATAGTTATTACATGTTATGATGTATTATAATAAATAGGTACAGACTCCCGCCGGCCGCCACACATTCAATTTTGGGTACATATACAAAATACTGTTGTGGCCCTTATAAAATATTATTTAATGAAAAATAAGTATTTTTATTAAAATTTCCAAAATTACAAATTAATTTCAGCGGGCCCCTATTCTCGGTCCAATAGCCAATCCCATTATGGGAGGATGGGGGAATTGGGAAGATAGTCACTATAAAAAAAAATAAATAAATAAATAAAACTAATTGATTAGTTTTAATGATGATATTTATGTTCAATATAATTTGATTGTTTTTTAAACCAGTCAAGTACCAAAAACGTACTTTTTCGTAAAAACAGCAACCGCGTACTCACAGCATGAGTATACTAGAATATTATTGTTTTTCTGTAAGGCTAGGTAGTGAAATTTGTGTATATTTTGTATTATATGTATCGCTTAAAGTGGTAATATAGTATGGTACTGTAATAGGGATTATGTGACTGATACAAGTTTAACTTTTAAGTACTTATGAAAAAAAAAACAAATATCTCCGGTAATCTATATAGGTATAGGTTCGACGCAGTCCGCGACGGATCTAAACGTACAGATACGCTGCGTGAGACAGTTGATCCATTAAATTAGACCTCCCCACCAAAAAAAAAAAATTACCACCTTCGTGATTGCAATGACATTTTGACGTCAAACTGTCTCGTAACCAAACACCACCAACAACAACAAATATTATAAAAAATAGGATTCCTACTTGTGTGTGGACACGTCTCTAATGGGCACGGAACGACTGCAGCAATCGGCGGCCGGCACGTGGTGGTGCGGTGGCTGCAGCGGAGACGCACGGACAGCGACCGTCGTGGTTGTGGCCGGCGCTACGACGGACACCGGTATTGCCGGCGGCGACGGCGGCGCCTCGACCGGTGCGTGGACGGCGGTGGACGTGGTTGGACGGCCGCTGCCGCATGACGGCTATGCGTAAACTACGCGTGGTGACGATGCGGATTTTTCGATTCTCCGTCACCGTAAATTAGTATAGCGGAAAACGCGATCGGAATCGTCGTCCGGCAGCGGCGGCGATGACGATATTATTATTGTCTATGGTTACAATAGTAAATATAAATATCGTTATAGCACGTGCGGCGTAATAATATTGTGGTAGGTGCTTATTGCGAAACGGATGATGTTTTGCAGAAACACACGCGTGGGCTAACGCACGTGTGCCTACTGCGATGTCACGTCACATAATATAATTGTAGCGCTAGACCGGTTGTGTTACTTTCGCCCCGCAGTGGCCGGCCGGCGTGAAAGAAAATCTCACCGATATATGACACGACGATATTAAGTGGTATGTAATTATCGTATGACGGCGCAGGTYGGTCGTAGTTGTGGGTGGGAGAGGGTGACTTGGTTGCCAATTATTAACTGGTAATAGTTATTAAATTATATATTATTATATCGACGACGACAGTAAAATATTACAATTGTGTCGATCGCGCGCGGAATTTCGTGCGGCGGTGTGTCGTGTGCGTGTGGCGCGCGCGACCGGAACGTACGTCAAGTGGGCGCCTGGCCGCGACCGTTACGCTGTGTGTACTGCACAGCTCGGCGCTGGGATCATTGCGTTTGCCGCGCGCGCCAGTCGTCGTCGTCGTCGTCGTCGKCGGCGGCGGCGGYGGCGGCGAGCGGTACGGTGTGCTTGCGCGCTAGTGTGTTGGTGCGTTTGCCGGTGAAGCGAAGGCATGAGAGAGAGTGATCGCCGGACCGGTGATGGGCGAGCGGAGGGGAGTGGTGGGACGGCGTCTGTGAGCGAGAGAGAGAGACACGAAGCGCGCGACACGTCAGCCACCGCCGCCGCCCGCCCAGGCGCGAACCKTTTCTCATTCCCCCTCATCACCCCGGCTACATATACGCTAACCACGCGCCCGGCCACTCCATCGGGCTTCGTCCTCAAGCTGCGGCTGTAGCAGCGAAGCACGCGACGGTGATCCTCCCGTTGCCACGGGTGACACAAGCGTTGCGCGCGCATCCTCGTCCAGGGATAATTTTTCCCATCCCCTAGTCGCCGACGCTCAAACACTGCAACTGTCACGTCTCTCTCGCTCCTCCACAATCTCCACCACAACCCAACACCGATCGCTCGCTCGCTCGCTCCACGCAACCCCCAACCCTCGCCAACCCGCGGTCGACCGTTTGYGTGGGACGAGCGGGGCAGAAGCTTTATTTTTATATTTTTTTAGCGAATTTTTTTTTCYGTTTACCCTCTTTTCGTACGGCATTTAGCTAACGTACCGTGCCTCGTTCCACACCCCGTCACACACACACAACTCGTAAGTTACTCCGACGGAGAACGCGGACCTCACTGTAGGCGGTTGGAGTGCGTGCGTTGGGCGATCGTCCAGAGCGGACGAAATTTATAATTTCCAAATTAGTTGCTCTATTCCTCCGCTTGACCAATTGACCACAAAGTTATTTGTTTGGGGGGGGGATGCTTTAGTTACTGCCTGTGCGGGGTAAACGTCGTATAGGCTTGTAGTGTAGAGTGGGTAAGCTTGAAAATAATCGTAATATTTCCGGTCCTGAAAAAAAATGATAAGTGGGTTATTATACTTATTACCGGTTTACATTCGTCAAGTTTTCGTTTATTTATTTTCAAATAACAGTTCGCGGAATTAATTCATTTCTGCCGTTTCGCCACCGCCGCTGCTACTCAGCCCATCACGTGGGTTTTTCAATTCTGCTGCATTTGTAGTCTGTTGACCCTWTCCATCACAGGCACAATACCTTTAAAATTACGTCAGTCCTTACTTTCTTCACACAATTTGATCGATTTCTTTTATTTATTATTTTGACAAAATAAACGTAAAATAAATTTTAACCAAAAATCGAAATATAGTTCACACACAATAATAATAGACATAGGTATTATTTATTATATTATTATTATAATTAATCTAATTGCAATAAAAATCGCACATAATAATATAATTAACATTTTAAGATTAATAGGTCGATACAAACATAAAGCTTTTATTTGGTTTTCTGTTTGTATTAAATTATTATACTTTTTATGTATTTTACACTTACGTTGGTAATGTTAATTTTACCTACCCATTTACCTATTATGAACACAGCTTTCAGTTTCTTCGATYGAATAAAGAGAGAAAAACTGTTTAAAAACTTGAATACTCAAATACTTAAAATCGTATTACAAAAATTTTTTTTTTTTATTTTATTCTACATTTTGAGATAATCATCATTATTGAACACTACCAATTATAATAAACTATAACAACAAATATGAATTGAATGTGGTAATTAACATAAATAGATTCTTTTATGTAATACRATAAAAAAAATTTAAATGCATAAACTTTGCATAGACAACAAAAGTGGAGAATATTTAAAAATTTATAATTTTAGAAATATCATGAATTCAGTTACCTATACATCTATTTATAATCAAAAAATTACAAAAATAGAATATCACGGTCAAATTTGTATCAAACATATTATATTTTTTGCTTATGATTTATTTATTTTTATTTATTTTAAGTGTTTTTCAAAATTAGTAATATTGTTACCTACCATCATTTAAAATGTTCCAATTATTGAAATATTAATAATAGACCTAGCTTTCACAATATAAAATATACTATAATCATATTAGGTTTAATAAACCGTTATAYTTTACACTCTTTACAGTTTATTCGAAAATAATAAGTAAAATTTTGTGTTTATTGTATTTACTTAGGTTCATGAAAAATATTATATAAAGAAAGAAATTACTATGCTGTACAGTTATTATCTCGTAATTCAGTAAATCGTTATAATATATATATATATTAAATTTGAATTCAATAATTATTAGAATTATATTATTATTGTTATTATTATTGTATACATGATACTTTTTATTATTATTATTATTTCTGAAAATTTAGAATCTGTATTTCATAACACGATAAGTAAAAAATATGACAGACATAACACTGCATACATAATAAAAATAACACATAAAGCACAAGATGACAGAAATCATCCAGYGATGGTAACCTCCACTACATAATATTCAAAAATGATTTTGAGCGAAGACAGTCTGTCAGCCTATAAATTACCAAGTATATTTTATGATATATTAATATATCTTTTATACTTCTAGATTATTTTTCAACTGGATTATTTTTTGACTAAAAAATTTTATTTTTTTATTATTATTATTGTGAACTTTCAGTATAAAACTAAAAAAWTGCATTTATTATATATTAATGCCAKATTATAATATTAATAATATTATTATTAATATTTTGGAAAAATTTAAAATTCAAATACGTAGTTATAAAAAATATCGTACGCATAATTTTGCCTATATTATTTTTAAATTAACATTTTTTTATCTGTCCATTATCTTTTAGAGTAGTTATGCMTAGGTTTTCAACTTTGAGGGTGGTTCTGGTAGCAATTTGGTGATGAAAAAAATCCTATTATTTTCGAAATGAGGGAAAAAATGAATTAAATAAAACAGAAATTCTTACGCAAACCCAATTTTAGTTCGTTTTTTTTACCTGAACAACAATAATTTAATCAGACATAAATCGAAAATAACCTATAAAAGTGGGAATTTAAAATACCAATGAATAGCACAAAAAGATCTAAAATACTTTGAAAATTATTTCATATGCAACGAAGATACCATATTAAATAATTTAACAATAGTCAAAAATTTATCTGAACCTTATGTAAAATAAATTTTAAAATTTTAAATATATTAAAATAAGTTAACAGATTTATTTTAGGAACTCGAATAATTAAATTTAGGTAAATAAAGGTAAATCAAGACATAATTCTATAGAGTATTTCAATCTGTTAATGTAGCTAAATATTACCCAAACCATTTGTGAACTATTTAAAAAAAAATTTTAATTGTTCAAGACATTTTAAGAATAATAAATTACATTGCCATTCTAATTAATGCAATCAAAAAACTTTATTGTTCAAAAAATACTAAAAACGTTTTAGTTATATTTTTCAATTACTAAAAGAGTAAAGTTTAAATCAAATAATGCACCATAAAAAAATCAAAAGAAATCTCTCTACTGTAAGTAATGTATCAAGTGTTCTTATTATTCATTTATTAGATCACTATAATAAATAATATGTAAAATTTTAATTTAATAATTAATCGGAAATACGAAAAACTAATATGAGCGGAGATGGTTGACAGTGAGGCATGTCCAAGTATTGCCCAGGATGACATTTTTGAGAAAATTTAAAAATAATTGAAGATTGTGRACATAAACATAAATATAAAATAAATATTTTAAATAGATACTTACATATTATATGAAAGATTAAATTATTTATACCCAACATAATTATTGATATACAAATAAAAATAAAAACATTTATCTAACATCATTAAAATAATAATAAATGTTATGAAAATTGAATTAAAACAAAATTCTTATCTGATTATTATTTATTTGTGAGTTTCCCATGTACGGTTACGAATTAGGTTTGTACATAAATACAATGGGGTTTTATCGATTCCGCCGTTTTAACATCAATTCCGCTGGCTAACGATTCCAACCGATATTTGTTTATATTGATTCCGCCGGTTATCGATTCCAGCGAGCTTTTTTTTTATTTATTGATTCGCCGGCTATCAATTTCGGTGGTTATTTGTTTATGTAATCCCACTGACTATATTTTTAATCAATAGTGTAGGACAGGTATAAGATCACCCAGTTTACCATATTTTTTTTAAATTGAATTATAAACATTTAAAAAACAAAAACAAAAAACATTCTCTTAAATAAAATTAATTAAAATAGTAAAATGTGGCTTGGTGAGGCGCGGTCGTACGCTCAATCTGCGGAAACGCCGCAGTTGCTAGCTCCCGGATGGGTGATCACCCGGGATTTTAAGCAACATATCCTTGCCACACACATACACAAACACGTGTTACAACCCTACCCACTTAAAAACCTACAAACAAACATACAAAAATAACCCCTACCGTACCACCCCACACCCAATGGCTTATGTTGCCGTGGGTTCTCCTTACAAAAAAAAAAATATGTTTTAAAATTAATTTAACTAACGACAAAACAGCAAAAATAATATAGTAAAAATAAAATAAATAAAAGTAAATAGTAATTAAAATTTAATAATAACATTGATTGATATATTTTTCAGAATAGTGCTTTGAAGCCAGTTTCATTACTTAAATCTATCAATTTTTGTATTTAAATATTCTTCAAAACTTGTTTCTATATATTTATTTTTTCTTTCATAATTTTTTATTTTTACTTATTTTATTATTATCGAGCCCTCTATTACATAATATGAATCAGTTTGAATCTTTAAATTTAATACATGTGAAACAAAAATATATTAGGATGTGCTTTGTYGAATTGAGCATTAAGTAGTTTGTAGTTTGTTAGGAAGAAATTGAAGAAGACGCCCACATTTTTGGATTAAATTTTGATGTTTCATCAATATAATTATACTTACTTTTATTTCTAATACAATCAATGTACCTACGTGTAAAAAAATATGTTTACAATTTTATAGATTATATTGATTAAG